AGAACATAGGGCTAACAAGAAAAGACACAGGCCACTGTCAGGACACACACTACCACATACCAGAGGCTAGGACCCTGCTGACGTGGCAGCCCTCCACCCTGGCCCCTTACTGCCCCCCGCCCCTCTCCACCGCCTGCCAGCTGCCAACAAGGCTCTGCCTTGTGTCTGCCACACCTGTCACTGCCTGTCCCTGTCCGGGGGGGCCCCATCAGCCCCTCCTCAGCTGCCCAGCAGAGCAAGCAGTTAGTGGGGAGGGGAGGGAACATGGAGCGGGGGCCGGTGGTGGGGGCAGGGCAGGGGACCCGGGCCCGAATCCGGGCAGTGCTAGGCTGCCTGGTCAAGGTGCTGCTCTGGGTGGCCTCGGCCTTGCTGTACTTTGGAAGTGAGCAGGCTGCCCGCCTCCTGGGCAGCCCCTGCTTACGGCGCCTCTACCATGCCTGGCTGGCAGCAGTGGTCATCTTTGGGCCCCTTCTGCAGTTTCATGTCAACCCTCGGACTATCTTCGCCAGCCACGGCAACTTCTTCAACATGTGAGTCCACTCAAGGCCGTGGGAACCGGCTCCGTACACTCTGGGATCCCAGTTCCCTTCTCCAGGCTTCTGTCCTCCTGCCAGTCTGAACACTAAAAATAGGCTAGGAGGTTGAGGAGAAGGGGTGGGGGGGGAGGGGAACAGAGTCATGGGGTATGGGAGAAGCTTGAAACAGGACTGAAGAAGAAATGTGGACCCTGGAATGCTGAATGGTCCTCTAAGGAGATGGCAGAGTTTAAATGGCTGGGGGTTTTAAAGGGTATGGGAAAGAGAGAACCAGTGATGACGTGTAGGGTTGGGGGCAGAGCAGTGATGGGAACACAGATCAGGGTGGGAGATAGGGCTGGGGATCTCAGTAGCCTCCTCTTTTCTCTGTCTGCAGAAAGTTTGTGAATTCAGCATGGGGCTGGACATGCACCTTCCTGGGGGGCTTTGTGTTGCTGGTGGTGTTCCTGGCCACACGGCGTGTGGCAGTGACTGCCAGGCACCTGAGCCGACTGGTAGTGGGGGCAGCTGTGTGGCGGGGTGCTGGCCGGGCCTTCCTGCTCATTGAGGACCTGACTGGCTCCTGCTTCGAGCCTCTGCCCCAGGGCCTGCTACTCCATGAGCTGCCTGACCGCCGCAGCTGCCTGGCTGCCGGCCACCAGTGGCGTGGCTACACGGTGTCCTCCCATACCTTCCTGCTCACCTTCTGCTGTCTGCTTATGGCCGAGGAAGCAGCAGTGTTTGCCAAGTACCTGGCCCATGGGTTGCCTGCCGGTGCCCCCCTGCGCCTTGTCTTCCTGCTCAACGTGCTGCTGCTGGGCCTCTGGAACTTCTTGCTGCTCTGCACCGTCATCTATTTCCACCAGTACACTCACAAAGTGGTGGGCGCCGCAGTAGGCACCTTCGCCTGGTACCTCACTTATGGCAGCTGGTATCATCAGCCCTGGTCTCCCGGGAGCCCGGGCCACGGGCTCTTTCCCCGGCCTCACTCCAGCCGCAAGCATAACTGAAAGAAATAAAAGCCATCACACCTGGTTCTGGCTTTTCTCATCATTTGGCTGGGGACTTGAAAGGGTGGGACGAGGGGCTGGTATTCACTAGGGTTCCTCAGTCATTCCTTGCTGTCATCAACCCGGAATGTCCTTCTTTATGCATGACCTCCATTCCTCCTGCTGTCATTTCAGCTTTCTAGTCTTTGGATACTTCGAGCTATCTGGGGTTGTGATATCGAGGAATGGTTCTCCTAAGGCAGATAACAGTGCCTTTGTGTGTGCGCATCATTCTTGCTCCATCTCCAGCCTGGTTGATTTGTTTTTCCTGCCTTTTCCACTGGATCTCCCCTTCATCCTCCTCAGGGCCCACCTATCTGGACATACTACTCAGGCACCCTTCCTACTCTGTCTTCCCCGTAGGGGGTCTGTGTGTATTAATTTACTTAACAAACGTATACTGAGCCAAGCATAGTTCTATGCCATGTGAGTTAGACAGACAAGGTTTCTGCTATTTGGGGGCTTGTGAACTAACTGGGGGAGGCAGATTATAGACAAATATATAATAATAGCAAACACATTGTGTTTACTCTGTGCCCAGCACTGTTCTAAGTATCTATAAGTTATTTATGTAAATGAACACATTTAGTGTTCACGACAACAAAACAATGAGGTAGGCTTAGTAGTGTTCCCATTGTACAGTTGCAAAACTGTGGCACAGAGGTTAATGTGTTCACACTAATAAATAGAGGAGCCAGGATTACAAACCCAGCAAATATGGGTATATTGTCTGTGCACTCAACCAGGGATTAGTAAACTTTGGCCCTCCTGTGGTCAGTTTTTGTATGGCCTAGAAGTTAAGGATGGTTTTTACATTTTTTTTAATGGTTGAAAAAAATCGAAGCATAATAATAGTTCATGACATGTGAAAATTACATGAAGTTCAAATTCCAGTGTCTATAAACAAAGCTTTTTTGGATCCCGGCCATACTAATTTATTTACATATGGTTGTTTTCCTGTTACAGTGGCAGAGTTTTGTAGTTGCTACAGACACTGTAAGGCCCACAAAGCCCAAAATATTTACTATCTGGCTCTTTGCATTAAAAAAAACAAAAAAAAGTTAGCCGGGCTCGGTGGCTCAACCTATAATCCCGCGCCTTTGGGAGGCTGAGGTGAGTGG